ACAACCCTGTGGAAAGAAAGAAAGAATGCATCCACAAGCTCGCTTCTAAAAGAGAGAGAGAATGCACGCAACGCTCGTCTATAAGAGAGAGAGAAACTGCATGCAACGCTCATCTTTATACCTGCAGCCGACAGTTCACAAGTAATCATAACCATTGTCATCGTGAATGAAGCATTGATGTGGCCCATGCCAATCATGTCGGTTCTCCTCTGTCATCGAGTGGCCGTGATAACAACAGCGGTTCAAACAGCTCGTGCATTGTCTGTGGCATCTGATCGGGCCGTCCGCGAACCTGAAACGACGATTCAATCGATCCCATATTTGCCACAAAAGTTCCACAGCTGTGCTGTGGAAGCGAGGTTGATGCGCCAACGAGTATCATTCATCATTTGCTGATCCATCTTGCTGGATAGCGACTGCAAACTAAGGTAAGTGGCGGTAGTTGGACCTGATACTGCTACGGTCAAGAATATTGTATGTGGTGCCTGAAGCGGTCCTATGCACTTGCTGACACGAAGTTGCAGAGAATGACGGTGTGGTTTTAAATCGGCGAATCTGGTCACGAAGACCAACGAATGGAAAACCTCTCCGTCGATAGAGTTCAATTAAGTCCTCCAACTGCGGTCGAATTAATCTCCTGGGTCGGGTCTGCCGAGTGATTGTCAAAGCTCGTGCATGAAACCCTGACATCGCTACTGAAGTGGGGCCTACGGATCGCATGGAACGAAGAAGTGTGATATCACCTGGCTGTTGCATGGTGATGGTGCCTTGTACAGTCGAGGTGATGGAACCTAAAAGCTGTTCGCCCGGTACCTGTTCGAGTTCAATAGGCAATCCATAGAAAGCCAGATGCAATGTGAAGGTCGCCCAATCCGTATGTCTCTCTGACCGACGAAGAAAGAAGCATCGATTATCAGCATACCTGAAAGCTCGAAGTAATCCTGCTGCTTGAAGCTGTTGTCGAAAACTGCGAATCAACAGAAATTCCTGCTCTGCAGCCACCAGAGAACATAGGACTGGAGCCAAAGGTGATCCCATACTGGCTCCTTGAATCTGACGAAAAGTGTCTTGTCCTAGTTTGAAATAGGCAGACCTGAGCAAGAATTCTGTCAACTCCTGAACATGACAAAGTCGCAGCAATTTTGTAGCAGATTGGCGAAAACGTTGCTGACCTCGAAATATCCTGAGGCCTTTAGTACCTGCCTTCATGTCCACTTGGAAGACAGTGTCATCTGCTTTCTGCTGAAACAGGTCTTCAAGCCTCCACGTCAACAATTCTAGTGACTGCAGAATCCTGGCATGAGGTACGGAGTTGAAGAACCCAATGAGGTCCTGTTGTACCAAATCTAGCTCTTCACACTTCGAGTCAACCGACTGAATGAACCGCCATGCGGTACTCAACGCGGTGTGTACTGACGCCGCATTCCATGTCGAATTGACTGGAAAAGCAACTTGCATGAGCTCAAACAACGCCGTGGCAAGAAAAGAGCTAGTCTTGGTGTGCCAGCATTTGGTGTACGCAATGATGGGCCGGGCCTTCATGAACTGTTTGGATTCTTTAGGAAGAATCCTAGCGACAGGTAAGCCATGTTGCCACTGAAAAGTCCATTTATACAGCTTGAGGTCCGAATGGTGTTGTTCAAAGTCCTGACGAAGATGCCGTAGAATTGACAACGTCCCATTACGACATGGCCGAAAGACCTGTTCTTCACCAAAAGTGCGCAGAAGAAGATCATGGTAATGGACTGGACACGACACGAAAAGTGAGTTCGGAAAATGATCGGCAGGGCCCAGGATGAGATGTTGAAACGGTTTAAGGCTTGCTTCACGCCATGAGGTGTCCAATGTCTCTCCTGATGATCCTGACAGAACTGTTCGTGTCGTCGCCATTGGCTCTGAACCCATTCCTGCAGGACGGGTTTCAACCTAGGCGGGAGGCGCCAGCGTTTCCGCCACGCTTCCAATGCCTGGTTCGTCGAACGAATCCATGTGTCCTTGCTAAAGTACATAGTGTCTGATAAGTTGGCGCCTGACAGGGCCACATCCGAAGCTATAGTCCTAGCGGCGGAAAACACATGACCACTGGCTGTAACTGCTTGTGGATATCTGTCAGCTAACTGCGCACATGTGCACGATGTTGACTGTGAACGGGTCCAGCGTCGCAGAAAATTCCTGTAATTGAAAACCTGAGAGGCGAGTTGTTGTCCTTTGCAATAGACCAGTTTAGTCGTAGGAAGATGAAGAGGAGGGAAGTTGCAACGTTCCTGACAAATCAATCTGCGCAACAAATGTCGAACTTCCTGTCGTAGATCATGTGACAAAGGAGCAAGAATCAAGGGTCGGTTCACAGGGGGCGGGCGACCTTGCCGAAAAGAAAGTGTCAAACGCAACTGGTTAGTGGCGCGAGTCTTCCACGGTTCCGACATGAACTTCAATAACCGGGCGCGAAGGTATAGCTGAGTCAAGTCAGCTCGACGCGACCGAAGAAGTTTCGCCTCATAGAATTTCTGTAAGGAATTGGATCCCAGTTTGTACAAGGAAAGGAAAACATCGTTGGATTCAACAGGTTGTAAAGATGCAGAGAACTTGTATCTAGCATGTCGTCGAGCACGATCCACAAACCTTCGTCCTGTGCCTGGAGTCGGCAGGGTGAACCTTCGTTCATGTAGACGGTGTTTGCTGAGGAGCTGTCCTACCCATGGCGTATTGAGTGTAGGCTGAAAATCTCGAATGTACTTGGATTCCCAGGCCAACCTGTCTGCTGTGTCCTCGACATGGCGCAGAACAACCCCAATGCCACAGTAAAATCACCTTGGAAAGCCCAGACCTTAAGGGCGGGTTCAAAGTATGCAACTCGCTGACGACATAACTGAAGAAACTTTCTACGGCGAGCAAGCTCTCGTCGATGAATTGTCTCTGCTGTCGACCCAATGTAAGATTGGGTGGCTGAACCTGATCCGACATGTTTTGTCCTGACATAAGCCACTTTCTCTTGAGTATGCCACTCCCATGAATAATCACTCGGCCCCTGGTTGACCTGAAGGAGATCACGAAACTTGCACAAGAACTTCGTGGAAAAGAAGCCGAAAGGAGATCGTACAGCCTGTACAAAAAGTCGAGCACGAACCCAGAGTAGGCGATCAAGCACTTTATGAGGTAAAAGTTGAAAGAGCGCAGGTAAAATCATAGAAAACCATCGAAAGAAAGTCCGAAGAAAGTGGACCATCTGGGCACGGGACACTGAGTTGTCAGACGTCCTGGTGCGACGTGGTGCCCGGTCCCCTTCCGAACTCGGCTGGAGTCACTCCTGTCCTATAACATAGCATGCTGCAATCAACATGCTAAGGGACTTCTCTCCCACCTTCGCTGCTACGGTGACTGGAAGTCCCCACGAAACTGCTATGGCGTCCAGTGCTGGCCTGCTCCCTGGGGTCAGACGGGACATGGCAGCCGAGAGTTCGTCAGCTGCTGTGCGGACCTGATTCATACGATCCTTACCAACCTTGGTGGAAATCCAACTGTTGATGGTAGCCACCTTCCAATTGTCGAGTTTGCAGTCATCCAGAACGGGATTCCCAGACTGAGGTCGGAAAGCATCCACAGTTTCTAGTGGATCTGCATAATCCAATTCTTCTTCCGCCGGTGCCTCGTCGCTGCATCCTGCCAGGTCCGGTGAGCCTTCCCGAGATCGAGGTGGCAAAGTAGCCAGTTCATCCGGGTCGTAACGATCTGTGTCTGCTTCATTCCTTTGAAACCAACAGTCTTCAAGGCTACGGACTACTGAGGTGGGCAGCTCGACGGTGGGTTTGACCTTGGTCCGCCGATAGGATGGGGGCTGAGGAGTCTTTGCCGAACCTGAGTTTTTAGGCGCCGATCTCGTAGAAGTTCTCGGGGTCACTGGGTCCCTCTTCCCCTTATGTTCCATGTCCTCCGAGGGTGGTCGTACACTAGCGCTGGGTCGGGCTTCACGGCTGTGACCTCCGCTCTTCAATCTGGCATTCTCTCTCTGTAATTGACGGATCTGATCCATCATCGACTGACTGGCAGCTGAAGGTCCTTTCTGTTGAGCAACCTTAGCCAAGTGTTCGACAAGTTCTTTGATGGCCACATATCGATTGTCCCAGAGATAGGGGTCTTGACCTGGGAACTTGGTCTTCGTCATGTGTGTGAGGGTGGCATTGAGATCTGCGCCTGATGTACCGGTAGACTCTCCACGCAAGGCTCGCATCAAAGTTCCTGCCATGATTGCTTCCTGCCGAGACTTAAAAGACTCAAAGACGGTATGTCTGCCGTTGGCCAGGGATCGCAATCCCCAGTTGACGTTACCTCCTGTAGTGACCTGAGATAATTTCACATCCATGATGTCGATGCCATCAATGTTCAATTCCCTTGTAAAGCGATTGGAGATAACCTTGCGGGGCAGAGTCAACCCGTACTCACGATTCGAATCATACTCCGAGGTGGTACTGTGCCATGAATGCGGAAGAGGGGGACGTTCCGGTTGGTCCCTGACGAAGGAAGGCCGGGACCGACTCCGATATCGTTGATGTTGGTGTTGGCCTCTTCCTCTGCTTCTGGATCGAGAATCTTGTCTGTATCCCCGACGCGACGTGACTTGACACGGGATCTAGCACTCACGTCTAAACAGCCTCAAAAGCTACAGCACACACTCATAGCTCAAGTCTGTGTACATGTAGAAGAGAGAGAGAGAGAGAGAGAGCAAAGCAAATGACAGGATACCTGCGAGACAGCTGCTTCGTTTTTGGCAAAAATGTAGCGGCTCTGATCCTCCAGATTGCAAGTGAAGACCTGCAACAATGATGCATCCTGACAGAATTATAGGTGGGAAAAGATGACACCCATCTATCCCAGTCGTTTCTTGACCTCTTCAGCATGAGTAGGTCGTAGGTGAAACAATGGTCGCCCCAGTCGATCCCGTCGTGGCTGAAACTGTTTCCTGACTGCGAGGACCACGCCCGAGACCGTAGTCAAGTCCGAATGAAGCAGCCATTTCCGGTCTCTTTTGAAGTGGACCGCCGCATGTATCATACATGCCTGTTGGGCCTCTTGTCCGGACTGTCCGCCTCCCGAATCAAGGACGCTATGACTGCTCGGGGTAGATACCATCCCTTGGAAAATGGCCGGACACTGCCATTTGCCCGACGCTACTACCCTGTCAAGCACCTGAAGCTGGCTCTCATTGTCAGTCCAATTGGTGGCTTGACTGTAGTGCCCTACAGCAGTCGGCCCGTCTGCAATCGTCGCAGGGGCCAAGTACCTGGAGTTGATAATCCTTTCTGCGCCCCCTGAGTTCGTGCCATGTGCGAAAAACAGGGTGTAGCGATGCACTGCAGGGTCGGTGGGCTTGGTTGTGAAAAACTTCTTCAAGTGATGCTTCCAATACACCTGCTGCTTCGATTCATAGAAGGTCACCTGATCGAAAATTTCCTCAGCGGGGCCGGTATACTGCTGAATGAGGTTGGCTAGAAACATCCATTCCATCTGTGGTGGCAGGTGGACCCTGGAGGACTGGTGTAGATCCTGTAGGATCCTGGCATTCCTCTCAACCACATCAACTGGAAAGGGAGTGATCTTGAGAGGTTCCGTCCAGCTTACCAACTTCACAGACATGGCACCTCCGATGGCATCTCCCTCAATGCCATGTTCAGTCTCCAGCTGCTGGGAACTGCCCGAAAGTCGAGCATCCCATGCAAACCTCGGAGACTTCGGGGGCGTAGTCTGAGCACGTCCCTGTATGGCTGAGGAAACCTGCGGGTCGATTGGGTCCTGATAGGATGCGCTGGATTTCACCGACATGCGGGACGAAGAAGGAACTTCCGGCCGAGTCCGACTGTGCTCGTCCAAAGCTCCACCCATCTGTGCTCGGTCCTGAAAGGAAACTGGAGCCGGGGGTGTTGAGGAAGTGGGCGGAGGTGGTGTAGATTGACCTTCGCGAACTTGCCGGCCAACAGACCCTCGAGCCCTTGCTGCATTCTTCGGCGTCTTAGCAGGGCGGCTTTCAGGTCGTGCCTTGGGTCGTGCGGCACGAGGATCCCTGGGAACACCTGCAGAAGTAAGATTGATATCAGCACCTTGCAAGGAAGATTTCGTTGCAGGGATCTCCGCATCGTTCGAATCACTGGAATGGTCCGGACGTTCACGACCCTGCGGGGCGAGAAAAGCTTCAATGTCCCGCGGGAGTGGTGCTTGATATGAAATGTCCATACCTGCAGCGAAATCAGATTGCACCGACACGTCGTCATCCGAGGCTGTTCCCTGAAAAGGAGAATCATGACCACCTGTCCGGGTGATATCCACACCTTCCGGGTCAGAACCAGACTCACTGCTACGAGCATAGTTGTCTGCCATGTTGCTGGGGTAGGAGTCTTTACTCCCGCGCACTAATGGACCCTTGGTCACAAAAGCTGCAAAGGGCCACAAATATGTGGGCATCACCCGAACCCTGGACCACAAGTCCCACACGATCCAGTTTGCTATGGTGAGCACATGAGCCGGTACCTAAAGAGAGAGAGAGAGAGAGAGATGGCTACTTTTCGGTGCTATGGTAGGCACGACGCGGTCAATCCGCACAGGTCACTTGGGTATTCCCGGCTCCATCCGGAAACTGACGCTGCCCAGACCGGGCTAGGTGTCGACTGGCAACAAGGCCTACACACGGAGATGTGGGGTAAGAATCATTGTCGGCTGCCGCCACTTCAAATGAACTCGAGAGGACCATATAGAAGTCGTTCAGACCTGTATGTTTAATCGTCCTGACATATGTGCGATGCGGAAAAAGCAGATTGCAGCAACCGGCCCGAATGCAGTTCACTTCGTGGCCGACTGTGGAAACAACAGCCTCCTTGAGGGTATTTCGGGCGGGCCACACTTGCAGGTGCGCCGAGTTGATCAGACTCGGTATCC